GGATTAAACAGATCAGCCTTAGAGAAGTCAAGCAGGCAGGTGCTTGTCAGTTATCTTTCAGGAAGCAAAATAAGTCATAAAGTTGATTTGTGAGAACATGCTTCTTTTAATATTGGATCCTACTTTTTTTTTTAAACACTTGCTACTCTAACACAAGTGAGAGACAGGTTGTCTGTCTCCTATCAGTAAAAACAGTGACATGGTAAAGCAATATCGGAACACGCTACTCTGATTACCATGATGCAGTAAGTTTTAGAAATAAAATAACACTTCTCCAGTGTTTTCTATGTTACCATCTTTTTAATTAGATTTTTAACAATACAGAAACAAGTAGAAAATCTATCTGAATTTACAAGCATGTATCTTTCAACTCAAGAGCTGATTTTGGTATTGCAAGATAAACATTTAAAAACATGAGGTGCTTCCTAATGTATGGGCAACCTAAACACTACTTTAAAAAAAAACCACCAAAGGAATTATGCGGTCTTTCCTTCTAAGACTCCCTCAAACCACAGCAGGAGTTGAGGGGGAAATTAGTCATGATGCTGCCTCACCAAATCCCTGCTCTCAGTAGGTTTTAATGTCAATTAACAGAATTGCCTCTTTCTAGCACATCCACAGGTCATCTTCATAGAGCTGTATATTTGATTGCTCACAAAATAAATTCCCAAACATTGTGAGACATTTCTGGAGATCAGTATTTCACAAATAATTGAAATACCTCTACCCAAGTTCTACAGCAATTACATGAAACATGATCTTGTCACATCAGTTTGTAACATCTCTAGCATAGACACCATCTGAATTAATCACACTTGATTTTCACATAGTGCATGAAAAAGTGTGCATTAATACATTGAATACATTGCCTCAAAGGTATCTTTTGCCAGCAGTTAAAATGCTCAGTGCTGTAACAAAGAGGAATTCAACAACTGCGCTGGCTTGTCTGAAGACTGGAAGCTCAATGGTGTTTATTAGTCTGGCTAGTTTCCTTTCACATATTTGAGTCTAAAACATACAGCTTTCCTTTGCATTCCTTGGTCTACAGCACAGGTAAATGGAAGAACACATTCAAGCTAACAGAAGATTTAAAGTGCATTAATAGGGTTACAATTTTTCATACCATGAACATTCATTATCAAAGAGAAAAGGCAGAGCAATGGCATCAGCCGGCATGCAGCTGTCAGTTCCACAAGACACTGAAGAACAGTGACTCTAGGGCTGCCCCAAAGGGAGCCAGCGCTGCGCTAATGCTCTCCTCAGGGCCCTAGGTAAGGACTGCAACATCCCGCAGAACTAGCTAGTGTTTTGCAAATTGAAATTCACCCAGGACATGACCATTTTATCACAACATGGAGCAGAAGACAGTGATTCTACCCACCCGTTTGTAACTGGATTAATTAGCTTTAGAATCAAGCTTCATCCTCCTCCCACCTACACCCTTTTTTTTTTTTTAAAATAAGCTGAAATGGTAGGCTGTTAGTGACCAGATCTTGACTCTAATCTGCCTCCTCACAGTACCTCCAACATAATACCTAACGCCAAAAAAGCTAAACTCCCAACTCAAACTGATTTAACAGTAATAAAGAGCAGAGTCACACAAAGCTGGATGCAGTGTGCTCAGGCCTGCATGCAAACTACAGATACTCTGAGTAAATGGCAAATCTCCCCAAGAAAATACTAGGAGGCAAGTCAGTGGACATTGCTCTCTGCATGAAAGCAAATGTCTTCCAAGACCTCACAGATCACACTTCCTCCATTTTACACTGTACAGCAAAAAACATTTGGTATCAGTTGCCTATTGGTCAGAGAAAGTACTTCTGTACCTGAGTACAGATGGTTTATATCCATGTAGAAACAAGATTTCAGCCTGACAGATAGCATCTGAATGAATGGAGAAGCCAAAGATACAAAAATACAAAATATTTAAAGATTCACAGAAAGGAAAGAAGTGGTAATGCAACTTGAAACACAATGAGTATGTCAACGTACAGACTCAAGTTTAATTAAGAATACCTCAATAAAAGAGTACATACACAGTTTTCAATATTTAGTCTTCAACGACAATCAGATATAATTTATTATTCTATCCCCAAATATACACATACGCAAAACTCAGGAACAAAACCATGGTGTAACAGATCCCGTTGCAGAACGCAGCTTTTTCCACTGGCGAGACTCCTGTGGCTGCCAGACCAAACTCCACTGCCAAATGTAAGGGACTATTTTGTGGAAGCTTTCTTCAAAGCCTTTGCTCCATGCCTGTGTTTACTAGGTAAAGCATCATGGCACTTACAGGTACGGGCAGCAAACGCTCCCAGCCGCCCCCCCCCCCCCCCCCCCCACATCCTCTCCCCCC